AAAAAAAAGCCTATTAAATTATTTAAATATCTTTTAAATAATTTTTAAAACTACTCCTGTATTTATTTTTTGCACATCAAACCTAAATAACACTTTTCTATTAAATTATTTACAAAAAATTTTAAATAATTTTAGGAATATTCCTACACCTTTTGTTGCAGGTTGACCTAAAATAAATACATTTTCGGTAAATTATTTACCTTACATCTATGCCTCCGAACATAATATTTTTGTTTTTTTGATAGTCCTATGAACATAATATTAAATGAGAAAATTATTTTACAAAATAAATTATATATTGTGTATTCTATAAAATTATTTAAATATATTTTATTTTATTTTTATATTATTTTAAAAAAAATAATTAAATAATTTTATAAAATAAACTGTATACAATACTCAAAACTAATAACTCATTTTTCTTTGGGAAAAATGGTCATTGACGAGATTAAAAACAGAACAGAACCAAACCACACTAAATAGGCCGAGTTTCTTTTTCTCGGCCCAAAGCTGTTTGGGCGCTTTACCCTTTGAAAGTTAAAGCTCAAAATCATGAATAACCGCTTCTCCCCCTTACCTCCATCTACCCGCAACAAACACTTTGTCGCCGGAAAAACCTACGGTTCCGTCTCCTCCGAGGGAATCGAAGACGGTTTTCATGTCTTCGGTTGCGCTCTCTAACCCTAGCCTCTCTACTGCCTTCCTCAGCCGAAACCTGTAAGGCTTCGTCTCTCACTCTTTCAGTTTTCTCTGCTCAATAATCGATGAGTTTTATTGAATTTCATGTTTTTCTTTTCTGCAAAGTTCCTCTCGTCGAAATCAGAATGCAAAGAAAGGATTGTGCTTTGGCGCCATCTCTAGAGACCGGAGAATCCCTAGATGTGCAGTCGATACTCCACATGGAGGTATTCTTTTTCTTTTATTTCTTAGTTTTATGTTGTTAAAAGAAAAAGGATTTGTGCTTTTTGTGCCTCTTGAAACATGTTGGTTGTCACCATTTTGAGGGGAGAGGAACTTGCAAAGATATGAATTAGCCTTATCTTTTAAAAAGAATTTAATAAAAAATACTTATCACAGACAAAATTGTGTGAAAATGCCATATGCAGGTTCTAGCAACTATCATGTCAATCCTTAACGTTTTAAGGTATGAAAGGAACCTTGCCTTCCAACATGAAGTATGCAAAACAGTGCCATTTTAAAATACAGATTACGAATTTTTAATCATGCTCCCCTTTGTCTTTTTTTGTGTAACACACATATTAAGAATTACCATGCCTGCTTGTAAAATGTGCATTTTTGCCAGTTTGCTGTAAGTTGCCCCTCAGTTCTCATTTCACCCAAATGCATCTTTCCTTTGGTGTCAAAATCTAATCCCATGTTTGCTTGTCTCTTCTCTATAGGTAATGTCCAAACTTTTCCCCGAATCAGGGTTAGGGATCCATATAAACGCCTTGGTATAAGTCCTTATGCCTCAGAAGAAGAAATTTGGGGAGCACGTAACTTTCTCTTGGAACAATATGCTGGTCATGAGAGAAGTGAGGAATCAATAGAAGCTGCTTTTGAGAAACTACTTATGGCTAGCTTTGAACAGAGGAAGAAAACAAAAATCAACTTGAAAAGCAGGCTAAAGCAGAAAGTAGAGGAGTCTCCACCTTGGTTTAAGAACTTGCTCAGTTTTGTGGAACTTCCTCCAATGGAGGTTTTTCTCAGAAGATTTTCTCTCTTTGGCTTAATAGGTGTCTGGAGCATCATGAGTTCTGCTGACGGTGGACCTGCCTTTCAGGTTTGTTCTACATCTCTTTATTACTTAATGGGAACTATAATTTATACATCTTACCCCTGTGGAAAGGATAATATATTTTTCCTCTTTATTTCTTTTTTCCCTGAACTCTTTAAATTATTGTTTTGGGGAAAATTATGACTACTTAATATTCCCACTCCCTTAGTCCCACGTTAAGATGATTCATCTCAATTAGCTTATGATATAATCTTCCTTGTGTCTTTCTGAGTCTATTGTTCTTCCCATGCCATCTGTTTCAACACCCATGCACTTTGATATTTAGTGTGGTTTTATTCAGGGCTACCTGAAGGCGTGCACATTTTGAATACCATACCAGATTCATTTAAGTTCCTCTTACTAATTATGTTTAATAAACCGATTTGGTTTATGCAGGTAGCTATCTCCCTGTTAGCTTGCATCTACTTCCTAAAAGAGAAAACTAACAGCTTGGCTAGAGCTTCCATTTTAGGGTAAGTAATAAAAGTTGCAGCTTTTATCCATTTCTTGTGCTCAACCCCAACCCTCACTCCCCTCAACGCTCCTCTCCTCTTCTTTATTTCTCTCTTTTTTGTTCTTTTTTTTTATTATTATTAACTAAAAAAAAACAGTTGTTTCTATTTTATTCCTTTTAATGGGATACTTTGTTCCATCACAGATTTGGTGCTCTTGCTGTTGGTTGGATATGTGGCTCCATATTCGTTCCCATGATGCCAACATTTTTGTTTCACCCAACGTGGACACTCGAACTCCTAACATCCCTAGTTGCATACTTTTTCTTGTTTGTTACCTGTACTTTTCTCAAATAAGATCTTCAACCATATGCTCTTTCTCCAAACTTAATAGATCATTTTTGCTCAACATTACATTTCATGTACTCTGATGATCATCCAAATGTTTCTAGTTACATTTATCATGAACTTTTGTTACCCGAGTTATTTCCATTAAGTGGAAACATCGTAAATGTATACCAAATTAAAGCTGCTGAAAGCATCTCTGGTTGTCTAATGGATTGAAATCTTTCAAGTAATTCTCCATTAGTGTTGAGAGTCATTGGTCCTTTTAGCTGTGATGCCTTCTGATTCTTTGGGCCGTGAGATCATACTCATCTATATATTATGGATGAAGGAACACATGTAGCATACTGATCGAGATAGTACGTAGTTCCGGTGCATCCTTGTTACTTTCTCAGGTCAGAACCAGTATGCATTCATCCATCCAGATTAGCCACCAAGGTTGACCGGCTTTACATGCATTTTACAATTGCAATATGGATTAAATCAGATTACAAAACATGAACCATTAGATCTAGATGGGGTGGATATATTGCTACTCTGAAAATTAGGTGCTTTCACTTGATTTGATGCTTTATTGTGTGCAGTTTAAACTGCATAATAATAGATTTAACCAACAAAACTTTATTCCAAATTCAACGTTAAATATCAGTGCACAAACAAACCATTGAAGAATTCTAAACCAGGCAAACCTAATTAAAAAAAACGTCTAACCAAGCTGAATCTAATAAATAACATAGACAATATGGATAGATCAGGGGAACCCGCCGCGTTTGCGACTCTCTCTCCTATTGCTTCTCCAGGCACAAACGCCAATTGAGTAAACCAGGACAAGGACCACAGTGAGGCAGATGTTGAAGAAAAGCAGATGCCTCCACTGCTGCTCAATATTTGCAAGAAATCCACTCTTGCAGGAGTTGCAGTTGTAGCAGAGCATGTCCTTGTTGTTACTCCACGTCCGGCAGTCTGTAATGTTGGATGCGGGGCCTGATGCTGGAACATCCCAGAAAGTTGCGTTCTTGAACTGGAAACCACATTCTCTTGGAGGTTTGCAGCACCCCAACTGTAAAACCAAAAAGGCCAAACAATGTGTAAATGAACACCATATTTCTCTTGAAAATATTCTCACAGCAAAAAATTAAAAAAATAAGATAAATAAATAAAAATTAAGGGGTAGATATATTCACACTTAATTGAATTTTTTATATATAATATATGAATATCAATTGAATATTTTTGAACTGTATATAAAAAACAATTTTCAATGAACTTCATATATTCACAATTAATTTTTTTTTAAATTTTTTTGTCATGGGATGGGTTGAAAACCCGTTCAAGGGACAAAAATATGCACTTTTTTCAATATGATTAGCATTGAGCCACAAGGGCAAGTGCATTCATACTTACTTAATTGAAAATATTTGAAGAGAAATTTGTATCACAATTGCTTAAAGAAAGATAGTTTCATTTAATCGTCAAAATCTTGTTTGGTTGGCAAAAAACTAAACTTAATCATTATTCATCAAAGAACTTTTTTCAAAAAGATGAAAAATAAGTAAATAATACCTTTTTCTTTTTTTCTTTTTTCTTCCTTTTTTGCAAAAATCAGTAAAAATAATACCTGTATGGGTGTTAGTGTTTTCTTGATAAAATCTGACTCTTTTTTACTTGCAAGATTCTTACAGACATGCGTCTCCACCAAACAAGCCCTAACGCGATCCCACTTCTTCCCGTCCACAAAATGCCTCTCCAACCAGTGACCGTAATCACTTGTCTTGTACTGCTTATACCCTCTCTCGGACACCACTTCTCCGACGGCCTTATCCGTCACCAGAAACACAAACACAGTGAACCCGATGATCCCCATCAACAGAACAAACATGGCCGCCAAGTAGATAAACATCACGAGATTGTTCTTACCCCACACCCCGATCAACCCCAGCACGGAAAACAGGAACACGAACCCTCCCGTTATCAGTAAGGGGTCGGAAAGAGACTCCTGACATTGAGTGCCGCCGTGGATGAGGAAGTACAGGCCGGAGATTGCCGCGGCGAGGCCGAGGAGTAGGGACAGGGAGTTCACCAACCCCACGATGAAGTTGCTAACGCGAACCATATTGTGAAAACAGAACTCCGATCAGACTGAATATTTCTGTTTTTGGAAGTGAAAAAAAAAATTTTTTGGCTTTTGTTTCTTCTTGGAAACAGAATGAAAGCAGGAGATAGAGGAGTATCAGAAACTGTTTAACAGTTTGTGAGAATTCTACGTTGTAAACCGTTGATTTCTTTAAGGTTTGAAGTCTGTGGAGTTTGCCACTGTGTTTTGTATTTATTACAGTAATGCCCGTAGGGAGGGTGGTTTGCAGCGGGGATTTAACACGTGGCAAGGGACACCGCACGTCATTTCAGTTTCGAAACTTCCTACTAAATGAGTGAAATGACCACTTCTT